GGATTGCAAAATCTATGATTTCAAAAAATCGCCTAAGCTAATTTTAGGAATTTTTTGGAATTTTGCGGAACGAATTGAGACAGGAATAGCTAAAAACAGGTATCTAGATAATATGTTAGTTCCAAATATATGACCTGGAAGTTGGCTTATATACTTCTCCTTGATCAACACTTACATCCGGGATTGATAAGTATTAAAGGGAAACAATCGACTTAGACAACATTTTCGTACTTCAGTACTGTCGCTCCTACAGAATTCGTGACATTTTTCAAAGATTTCACGATGAAAGACATTACCGATTTTTTGTAAAAGTTAGTTCAAATTCATCATATCTATCTTTTCAGTATATAAGTCGCCTTAAAACACCAGATGCATCGAATTGCTTGGATTGTAGTAATTATAGAGGAATTTGATGAAGAGAGGGTGTTAAAAATCTAAAGATTTGCTTTTACAATTGCATACAACAAAATTTCCTTCGTCTAAACCAATAGAAACTTTACTAATTCCCCTCAACTTGGATACAAGAAGAGTTTACTATCGCTTATGAACAACCGTTTGTTTTCCGCTTAGCAATGAATCCACTAGTGAAGATCCAAGCTTGCGAGAAAATAAAGGAAATTTTTAATCTCAGACTTGAATAAGAAAGGTTTCTTTCTTGTAGATGAAAAAAATTCGCAGCAGCAACATGGATAACACAAGCCAGCAGCGTCGTTTAGCAAATGGTGAAAATAAGAATGAGAAGTGTTGAAAAATGCTTTCCAAAAAATTTAATGTGTTATATTTTTTTCTCCAATCATAGCTCCGCACCAAGTCCTAGAAAAACGAATCCTTCCAAAATTAACAGCACACGAAAGGACAACTTGGGCATGACCAAAAGCGATTTACAATAACAAAAATAGGGTGTAAACCTTGTTTGTATTGGCAGGTCGCAAGGGCTTCGAGTGTTCCCCTTCTTCTTCGTCGCTCTCTACCATATGAGTAACTTCCTTCGTAACTAGAAGTCAACAACTCTATCAAAAGATCATGGAGGGAAGTTGTATCATACCTAGAAAACCGTCCTCATCCTTGTAAGTCTCTACAGTTTTAACCATCTTTCTCTTCTTAGCGGGGCCATGATCGGTATGAGAAAACGGTGCGCTGCGTTCTTAACCAAGATTAAATTGAGCTACTTTGTGTGAACCACCGACACTTATATGAGCACAATTTGGTTACACGTCACACTTGAAATATTCTTAACCGAAAAAAATACGATGCAGGAGGCATGAGCCTCATAACAAAAGGCTTGCTCTATTAGTTTGATGCGAAGGATGTAACCAGACTATGCCTTATGCAATGCCTACTGCAACAACTTTCAACCAATTCAATGTACTCACGAAAATCTTCAGATTCCTCTGAATGCTCCAGGTCTTCCTTCGATTTCTTCTTCTTTTTTAAGGCTGAACTTCGCACTCCTTAGAAAACATTGGTATACTAATAAACACCACATGACAGCATTTAAAACAAAAGTACTTTTTGTTCTGGAGACTGGTTTTTCTGCAAGTTTCTCGGGCCAAGTCTCTGTAGCATCATTAGACTTTTCAGGAGAGCTATCTTCGTCATCAAAAATGTCTGTATTCCCTACGAACACAGGGGATTTATAATAAAAGTAAATCAAAATGGATTTTGATTAAAGAATACATCTTTTGACTTGCGAAGACGATTCAGATGGGGTTCTACTCGGTAATTTCTTGTTAACCTTCAGTTCGTCCTCTGCTGAGCAGTCATTCGCATCTTCTGCTATCATCTGTTTCTGAGCCGTTCTGAAATATAGGTGCAAAAAATTAACGTATTAATTTTGAGCAGAAAAACGCATAAACGACGATAAAATAAAGCTCGAAAGATTCACTCTAAATCTGAAGATAGCTTCTTTCCTATATCAGCAATATCGTCAGCTTCTTGTTTGTCATTAGTGATTTTGTCCTTTTTCCAAGGGCTATTTCTTACTTCCTTTTTAGGAGAATTCTGAAGTCTACTATTTGGATAAATCAAAAACTCTGATTATGAACACAAAAAGATGGAAGAAAGTGAACCTACCTTCGGTGTCTTCTGTCGCTCACAGGCCTTCTTGAAAAAACTATTCAGCTTCTGTGGTTCAGTATCTCCTCTTTTGATGAAATGATGGGTGATGGGCTTTGCGGAGGATATGTGATCCTATAAATAAGAGCAGTCATTTATGTGAGCAGATTTTAACATTTGTTGGATTTCTCTATAATTCTAGACCTACGTTCTA